TTGCTCAAAGCGCACAGATAATCCCACAATGTCCAGGCTATGTCCATCCGTCCGCTTATTTCATCTGAAAAATTTTTCTATTTCAAAGAAATTTGAATCTTATCGGTAACTGCTACTACATCGAATAACAAATTTGTACCTGACGTAAAATGTTTGTACACGTCTTATTGACGTAAACAGCTAACATTATAAACGTTTTCGGAGCAGTAAATATATAGTCCTGACGACATATCAGCCATGAGGAGAAACACATTTTGAACAAACTTATTTATACAGCAATTTATATAGTTTATTTGTACCTCGAACCTAACTGTGGATTGTCGCTAGGATTTCTTTCCTGAGTTTTGGCTGGCTTTTGTGTTTGTGGTGCTGAACATTCGGATTCCACCGATCCAATATTTAGAGCAATTTAAGAAGACAGTGACTATCACCCAGGCTGGTAAAATGAGAAGACTTCTAGCCTCGTCCGTTGAGTCTGTAGGTAGGACGAAACGTCCAAGTTTGCTTTCATGTTTTCGCCCAACAAATTTCCTGACCTCCCTTCTTCTTATTCATTGTTATTTCCGCCTCTCTGTTTCTCTGTCGTAGACAATCTCGACCAATCTGGGAAGGGGGGAGAGGGGGTTATATCTGGAATAGTCTGTCCCGATCTGTCGCGCCCGTGATGTAAGAGCGGGATCCCGAGGGAGGTTCTGCAGAAGGGGACGTAAGATTGGAAGCTGTGTCGATGGATTTGTATTTGTTAAAGACGGACGGACAGACTGCAGATTCAGCTGTCCGCTAATTGAATGTGCCACTCTCCTGTTCAGTCTAACTGTAAGTGATATCATATTATTAAGATAACGAAGGAGGATCATTTTGCGACGCAGATTGTACATTTTAGAACTTCAATTCCTTATAATTCATCGTATTTTAGAATGAATTCTATATAAATTTTGGACTGAACAAAGAATTAAAGCAACTCTTGGTTTTTAATGCTAATGCAGCGACATCGCAGAGACTACGAACCTGAAGATGGCAGCACACGACCGAAACAAGTAGTTCGATAAACACTTAGAATGTGGTAAACAGTGTGTGTGTGAAGATAATTACACGAATATAAAGTTGGTATCCGCGGAAAGCCGTGTCCTTGCGAGTTATTCCATGTGTGGGTGAATAAGGGTGGTCTTGAAGCCAAGACTTTAGCAGTGCCTGTGACTCGCCGTACACTCGTAGTGTACGTGTTTCTGAACACTGAATAATCAGTGTATTTTGGAAGTGTTTGCCTCACATCGTAAAACCTAGTCCGCATTCCTTCCGGGTTGACTCTAAATTGTGTTGGAAACACAGAAGTATTGAGCTTCTACTTCCTTACGTACTTCCGGTTGGAGCAGAGCGCATGCCTCTTGAGGACCCTGTCTGTCTGTCTGTCTGTCTGTCTGTCTGTGGCTTGTGCGCGATTATTCCAAATCCTTTGTAGGAGAATTCTGCCCAAGGCATCAAAACTCCATCTCCCTACCCCTCCTCATTGTGAGCAAAAT